TCCCAAATGGATTGTTAATAGATAGCCAAAGCTTAGTTTTTGATAGAGTGTGGAAATCCCTTTCAAGTTTTGATTGCTGTCAGTGACCCTGCTGCAGAGATTCACTATTTTATTGCTGGTGTTACCAGGACAGAAAGTGATATGGAATGCCTAATTTTACAGTTTTTACCAGAAGAGGAGGACAAGGGAAATCTTCTAATTGAGACACATATTTCAGTGACAACTGTTTAAAGCAGAACTACACTGCAGCTGAGCACCACAAACCAAGAACACCATTTAATTCATTGCATACTCACCCATCCATCGTTTTTTTTATTTTTGCTGAGCAATCGCTTTGAAAAACACCCCCAAGCTTTTCAGGCCATGGTCATCTTGAGAAAGGGCAGATGATTTATGTAGCATTTACTTCCTGGGATCCATCTGCCCTTAGCTTAGGCATGCAAGCAGGAGGGTGTGCTTAACTGAGAAAACCCCTTCTCCACTCCTGAAGATTCCGGGGATGTGTGACATAATTTGCCTAGGCCTGGAAACCAGGAAGTAACTGAAGAAATGTAAGAAAAAAAGCTTAAAACAAGTTCATATGATATACTTTCCCAGCTATATACTAATGCTAGCAATATAAGAATAAAATAATAATGCAATGTTAATTGAGAGATTGAAGTTCCACTTTAAAGGGGGAATTCTACTGACATTGGAGAGATTTCCACTGATGTCCTGTTTTGTTTGTTTTGTTCCAGGGCAGGAAGTGAAGGGAAATCTCCCCAGTAAGACAGAAAAAAAAAAGTTTTGGCTATAGTAATTATTATTGATAGTATTGTCTTATTTTCATTACATAGAACATATTTCACTCAATATATATTGGCAATGAAAATATAATGGAGTTATAATAATAATCACTGCATAAATAATGATTTGAACATGCAGCCAAGAAATAATGAACTCTAAATCATCGTATATGTTTGGCAGAAATCAGTGATTGACTAGATTGTAAGATCAGGAACAAGATGACAGACAGCACCAATATATAGCCAGCATTGGAATATCCCAGATTTGTATGCTCACAAATTCTCTTTAAAGTGTTATTAAACTGGCCTTGAAAAAATGTATATTGACTTGCATACCTTAAGAAATGTTTCTGTTTGTAATCTATTTTGTTTTCTGATATTCTTGATGGACAGTCTATGATCGAAATGTCTAAACTATTGATTTCCATGAAGATGGTGATTCCATTGTATGACAGTGCGAGGCTCTGTCACTGTGGAAATGGGTTTGAAAAGGACACAGGACTCTCAAGCAATCAGTTTGAGAGGCTCTAGCAAATGTTTTGCGAGCAGAGAAAGCTATGTTTTCAGCTTTCCCTGGATTTGTTAAGTCTGGATCGGGGCTGTAAGTTTGAAGGCTCCAAAGAGTATTGGGTGGGATGGAGTCTTCAGTCTTGTGTCCAGGTTTTTCAAAAGTTTTGCAGGGTGTGTGTGTGTCCAGGTGCACACACTCATTATAAGGCAGATCTGAGCGTAGTTTAAAGGTGGTGGAGGTGGAATAGCAGTTGCTATTGTTACAAGCCTGAACACAGAGCCCTGTCAGGAGAGCTGGAAGCTCCTGGTTGAGACTACAACCCTTGTGAGGGGGATTCTGGGCCCAATGACTGGGAAAGTCTGGCCAGCTATGAGAGCAAGAGAGGGTCTGGGAGGCTGAGGAAACTGCAGAGGACAGTGAGTCCAAGGGGCTGGAGGGAATCCGTGAGTCTCTGCAGGAAGCATGCTGAGGTACAGGGAAAAGCCCATGTGGGGCCTGAACATCAAGGAGCTGTCACCTAGGCTGAGAGAGCCTGAAAAGCCAGTGGTCTGGGAGACCAAGCTAAGCAGAGGTACTGCTAACCAGAGGGCCAGGTGGCTTGGCATTTTCATTGTGTATTATTTTGAGTGAAGTTGAAACTGTAGCCGCTGACTTTTAATAAACACACGCTTACCTGTCCCAGGGTCCAGCAATGTGCTCACCTGCACTGTCCCTTCACTTCTTCTTTATGCAGTACCGGCATCTCAACTGTGGGCAATAGACGGTGACAGCTTGTGGCTTCACAGCTGGGTGCCCACTGCGCATGCACAAGTTATGCTGCGCATCCTGATTGGTCCAGGAGACTGTAGGAGGAGGCCGAATTTCCAGCTCACTTCGCTACGGTGAAAACCAGGTACCTGATTTCCCCCCCCCCCCAAATATGGCAGTGGAGGGGGGAGGGGAGAAGACAAACAAGTGGAGCTTCCACTTTTGGGTGGAACTCCACTTTAAGCTGAGAAGCATGGAAAGCTTGCTCTGTTTGGCTTTGTGTACTTAGACACTCATGATAAATTTTAGCCAAAAAAAAAAAGCTCAAAAATATCAGCAAAGCAAAGACAATATGGTGGGGCACTGGACCAATATTTTGCTTATCTAAGTAGAATGAGTCTGGAGTTGCTTAAAAAGTGTAGGCAACTGTGACCATGTGGCATGTGCTAGGACCTTGGAACCATCAATCAGAGCAGGCTGCTGATGCTTATATTATCATTTATCTTCAATGATCTTTGTTCAGATTCTGCCCAATCCAAAATGGCAAGTCCTGAAAAAATTTAATAAACTAATTCTGGACTTTAAAAGGTTTGTGGTGCTCTCATTTTTACTTGAGGACCGTGCAGAGCAGTTTAGCATAGAGGTTACAGTTCTGATAGATCATAAAGTTTAATATGTAATGCTTTCTGACCATACTGGTTCAGGTCAAACACGCCAAAACACCCCTCTTCTCTTTTCAGGGCTCACTCAACTTCTTGTGGTAAGCAGTTCTTATGTTTAAGATACAGTCCTCCCAGGCACAATCTAGGGAGCCACAACCTGCTTCCTGATCCTTCAAGAGCTGACTCCTGCAGGCCAGGCTCCACCCTAAACAGCCTTCAACACCAAAAATAGACACCAAAAATAGACCAGTACAGTTTCTTTTGTTTCAGGAAAGATGCCCCTAGCATCCTTTGGTCATGTAAATTTGTAACAGGTTACCTGTTTTAGAGATATGGATCTTAACTGTCGGACTCCCTTACAGTGCTTTTCAACAACCATCAAGTCGGCAAAACTGTGTTTTGACCTGGTGTGCTGATTATTGTTTCTGTTTTCTGGCATTTTTCTTTCTGCTCTGGCTTCTTATGATGCTCTGCCTGAGACACACTACTATTTGGTTCCCTCTGCTGGGTCCTATGCTCCTGATTCCACTTCTGCTTCCACAAGCATGCACCAGCATCCTCTTTATGCCTTTAGATGCCCTGTGCTGATGCACCAGCAGATGTTGGTGTGATTCCTCAATGAAGTTTTAAGAGCCAGTTTCATCTTTTTCAAGTGGCCTATTGTAAAATGTATTAGCTTACAGTTTCCCATAGACTCTGGCTTTCCCACCTTTGACCTTTAGAAGTGATTTACAACTATGCTATTGTGTCACTGTTCTGTACACTCTCCACCTACCTCGATATAAACCCTAACCTGTTCCTTGACCTTAAATTTGCATTTTAATTAATCACCAGCTTTGGGCCCCATAGCAGCCAGTTGCTATCATCAAAGCCATTCTATTGGACACAATCTGCGAGTGCCCACTGTACAAATTTGATCCCACTACCAGGGGCATTGGGGAAGGTGTTTTCAGAACCTTTGCCCTAGTAGAAGCCTATCTATCCTCTTCAGGTAACTCTTCTCATTTTGCCAAACTAGTTTATCTGCATGCATTTTTAGCCCCATCTAGGTTCCTTAAATCAGTTATCCTGCATGCACACAGCTTAGGAGGTAATTGAGGTCCACATTTGTGAACAATGAAAACCATCTACAGTATTGCATCTACAGCCTTGGTTCGCCTGTTTTTCTAAATTTCAGCTCTGCTATGTACCAAGATACCATTATTGTACCTCTGTTGCAAAAATAAAAGCTTTCTTTGATTTTGAGATCAAGGTCTTACCTTATCCTTTACTGTATTTCAAAGAAAGTCTCATCAATACCTGGTATGTAGATTTGGGATGGAGAAACCAGTAAGACACAGGAAGGAGTTTACCAGCTGACCTCATTAGCACACACATCTTGCACTGATCTCATTAAAACAAACACCCTTCACCCATAAACTATGCTTGCACAGCATCCCTCCATGCATGCTAAACTCGCTAGAGCTGCATGCATCCCACTGGTTGGACATCCCTGATGTAGTGCAAGGGCCTGTCTGATTTGATACAGAGTGAATGGATCGATAGGTGGATTCTCCTATTCCTTAGTTTTGGTAAATCTAAAGGAAATTGTATGTGTAGCACTACCCACTTAGGAGTTGCTGAAGTTTTGGTCCCCCTATAGCCCTGTATAGCCAGGCAACATGCATTTTCCACACTAACTTGCATCCAGGAGACAGTAACCAGTCCTTTGTTTTGACGTTTTATTAGAGGATTTGAACTGGGATAGGGTTAAGGGTGTATGGGATGTCCAATGGAACTGTGAAACCAAGGACAACTACCTGGAACTATATACAGGTTTTTTACATTAAAAATCTTTTTCTTGGAGAGCTAGCCAGGGTCTCCGGTTGTACCACCCCAGACTCACCTAATCCAGCTGTTCTGGGTGAATTCCTGAGCAGGGGATCCAGTGCCTGTCGATTTAGGGGAAGACAGTCCTGGGTAGTTGCTAATCTGGTTTCCCGCTAGAGTGCTCCTTCCCCAATCTGGCCCAGGGGATGCAGGTTTACTCACTCAGTCCTTCTCCTGTGCTGCTGGTGGGTCAATGGCTGCTGCCAGGCCTTCTAGCTGGGCCTCTCCTTCCCTACTACACAGGTAGTCCTCTCTGGGGGCTGGTGAAGTCCCAAGATTTCATTTTTTTTAAGCTTCCTGCCTGGAGGTGAGCCCCTCTCCATCTGGGTTCTCTCCCAGGCTCCTGTTCTCCAGCCTTCACTCCATCTTCCACCAGACACTACTCCCCCTGCTGAGCAGGCTCAGTTACTCTTAAAGGCTGGCCCTTGCTAAGCCTCCTGTTGGGGATTGGCCAGGATCCTCTAAGAGCACAGACTAGCCACTCCTCACTTCTGCCCACTGCTTCTAGATATTTCTCCAACGTTCCAGAGCAGGGGGAAGTCCCAGAGAGCTGGTCTGCAGAGCCTTTCATCTCTGACTACAATTTGACCCACCTGGCTATCACACCCAGGCTGCTACTCAGCCATCCTCTCTAACAATTGGCCTAGAGCTCCCCCTAGCTAACTAGGAGGGTGCTACATACAAATGGATTGTATAGTGTATGGCCACCTTTATACACCTAAAATTAACTAGTTGTGCTTTCAGTGCCATTCATTTTTAATGACACCCCAAGCACAGAAGCAAACAAACATTTTGCTACATGAAAAAACGGGTGACAAATGCAGTACAATGCACAGTAAAAACATGCACCTTGCAGCATGCCAAAATGTCTCATGAGGCTGTCCTATGCTTGTCATAAGAAAAACAAGCCGAAAAACATGCGCTCTGACTACACTAGGTGTGAATGTGCCCTGAAAGTGAAATTGATGTGTTTACATAATCATGATGAAGCTTCATTCACGTCTGTACATTTCCAAATGCACTGAAAACTACAAAGAAAATGCATGCTGTGTGTTTGAGAAACGCACCTATAAGTACAGTAAAAAATGCACCAGACTGCACTCTAAAAAAAAAAAAAAAAAAAAAGTTCTGGAGATTCTTTGGGACGATTGTTGGGCATAGGGCAGTCCATTCAAGTGATGAGCAGAAATGCTCCCAAACGCCCCTCCAAAAATATGTAGAATGTGAATGGCGCCTGACAGCTGAGTGTCTCCATCCACTCCCTCCCATGTACCTGTGTAAAGATGGCCATTTACTATGTAATCTGTACAATTTCCTTTAGATTTACCATAACTATGGAATAGGAGGACCCACCTGAACAATCCATTCAATTTGTATCAAATCAGGCAGGATCTTGCACTACATAGCTGATGAGAGATCTAAAGGAGATTGTAGCATCCGATTGTAATGTGTATGGTCACCTTAAGGGAAGAAGTAGGTGGTGGTATAGTAATGAGCGAGGTGTGGTCCAGACTAGTAATACATGCTCTACCACACACTTTTATGTGATGCAAAAACACAGAGAATGATGAGAGCTGATCTACAAGAAATGATGTGAGCTGAAAGAATATTTTAAAACTCAGACAGAAACAGGAAGTTTCAGACTCTTTGTGGATGAGGTAAGTGATGGATAAAAACAGTGGGATTGCTGGGCCAGAAATTATTTCAGAAAAGAATTTATTATGAAAAGGGAAATTCTGCTCGAAAAGCTGAACTTAGCCTTTAATCGTGAATGAAACCATATTATTATTGTGTTTTGCTATGAAATCTTTGAAGAGTTAAATGCCATTTAACAATGACACTGTTTAAAGTGTTACTAAACCCAGGACCCTGCATTCAATATATATGGTCTCTCACAGAACATGGAAATGCAATGGTTTCAGTAAATATAAACTGCTAAATACCTTTTCTCATCAGCAGTTAGAGCAGTCTTGTGACTTCTATCAGTGTCCGGCAGAGCACTGGTTAAAGCTTGTAGGAGGAGTTTTTCTAGGAAGATGCAGAGCCCCTGACCTTTGTCTGGGCAGTGCTGACTGGCTCTGTGCTGATCACATGCACTCTCCCAAGAAAAAAAAAAAACCTCTCTAGCAATACACACAAAACTGAGTATGTGCAGTGTCTCCACACAATATGTCTTATCAGGAGGTAAGAGGGGTGCACTGGAAGAAGGGGAGGATCAGAGAAGACAGGATCAAACTGCCTTTTTACACAATGCAGAAGATTAACCCCTTAGGTTCCACAAGGAGTATAACCAGCATGTTGTACTGCATATTCAGACTGATTTTACTGTTGTGGGTTTAGTAACACTTTAAGTATCCTTGGAAATTCATGCCTTTATGGTAAACCAATTAAAAAAAAACCTCTCTAGCAATACACACAAAACTGAGCATGTGCAGTGTCGTCACATGGTATGTCTTATCAGGAGATAAGAGGGGTGCACTGGAAGGAGGGGAGGATCAGAGAAGAAAGGATCAAACAGCCTTTTTACACAATGCAGAAGATTAACCCCTTAGGTTCCACAGGGAGTATAACCAGCATGCATTACTTCATATTCAGACTGATTTTACTGTTACGGGTTTAGTAACACTTTAAGTATCCTTAGAAATTCATTCCTTTTATGGTAAACCAATTTAGGAAAAAACCTATCTAGCAATATACACCAAACTGAGCATGTGCAGTGTCTCCACACGATATGTCTTATCAGGAGATAAGAGGGGTGCACTAAAAGGAGGGGAGGATCAGAGAAGACAGGATCAAACAGCCATTTTACACAGTGCAGAAGATTAACCCCTTAGGTTCCACAGTGAGTATAACAAGAATGCTTTATTGCATATTCAGACTGATTTTACTGTTGCAGGTTTAATAACACTTTAAGTATCCTTAAAAATGCATTCCTTTATGGTAAACCAATTACTTATGCGAGAATTTTAATTTGGTTAATCCTTTCACCTCAAGTAAATGAAAATTAACTGTTTTTTCCCAATAAAGACCCAACAACACGCTAACATTCTTTGACACATTTTGCATGTGTTGCTTGGAATTTCAGAGGAAAGACAAACAGCTTTGAAATAAATTCAGTGATAACTACCATCGGAATCACATGCAAAATATTTTGCACAGGCTTCTTTCTGGGAACCTTCATTGTATTATAACATAGAAAAAAGAAAGTGTTATCTAGGCAAGGAGATGTGTTGATAGCTTGTAAAAATACATGTTGTGAAATGAGGGAGGCTTGTTGAGGGATTTTAAAGCTACTGTAACACTGTGCTCCAGTGTAGTAATGGGATTCTGGGAGTGGTGAGCACACATCACCTCCAGTGAAGCTAATCATCATTTTGTGCTATAGGAAATTAGAAAGCAAATAAAAGATTTAAAGAAAAAGAAGAAAATGTTCTTCACTTAGCCGTTTTAAGCGATATTAACCCCAAAATCAAAAATGTAATGAATTGCAGCTAACCAATCAGGATGTGGTGGCTGCATTCGTCTAGGCTTTCTTCCTCTGTTTTCACCTAGTGATCTGATCCGTAACATCTCCTGTATTAGAGAGCCTACCTTCTGGATGAAGGAGCAACAGAGACACCAGCGCTGTCAGTCCAACAAACTGACGCCAAATTCCAGCTAATACTTTATAGGCAGTTACAGCAAACAGTTTTTTTTTTCTGGGATAAAGGTTTTACATAAATAAATGAAAGCTGACCATTGTAAACACACCTGTCACTGATAAATGGTTTGTCCAAACCCTCGAACTCCTGCATCTGCAGGACAACTTGTTCTGTTGAAAAATGACAGACCTATTGGCTGGATCACCAGGTGAAAATAAAGGACAGAACGCCTGAAAAGAAAACGAATGCAGCCTTCACATCTAAGAATTGGTAAGCTGCAATATCACTTGTTTGCCTTTGGGTTTAATATTGATTTAAAGTGTTACTAAACCCAGGACCCTGCATTTACTATATCTGATCTCCAACAGTACACAGAACATGGAAATGTAATTATATACTGCTAAATACAGCAGTTAAAGCAGTCCTGTGACTTCTATCAATGTTCAGCAGAGCACTGGTTAAAGCTTGCAGGAGATGTTTTCTCTAGGAGGATGCAGAACCCCTGACCTCTGTCTGGAGGTGCAGATTAAATGCACTCTCCGAAGAAAGAAAAAAACTCTCTAGCAATACACACCAAATTGAACATGTGCAGAGTGTCTCCACACGATATGTTTTATCAGGAAATAAGAGGGAGACACTGGAAGAAGGGGAGGATCAGAGACACCAGGATCAAACAGCATTTTTATACAATGCAGAGGATTAACCCCTTAGGTTCCACAATGAGTATACCAAGCATGCTTTACTGCATATACAGACTGATTTTACTGTTGTGGGTTTAGCAACACTTTAAGGGAATATAGCTTGCCTTTGAAGAATTTTCCAGTTTGAAGGAAAATGGTGGTCGAATTAACTATTTTTTAGGCTACCCAAATAAAATTGATCAATCTAGTTTAAACCAATAGAAAAAAAAAAAAATAGAATAACTAAACAGAATACATAAAAAAACCCTCCATATACAGAATCCTACACCCACAACTGACCCAGATGAAGGCAAAAAAAATCCTATAAAGCCATGGCCAGATCTAGGGGGGTGCTGGGGTGGGCTATGCCCCCCCCATAGTTTAGTTGTTCCCTCACAAAGACCACCGCCCTGAACGCTCTGCCTGCTCACTCAACATTACTGCAGACAGCTGCACTTTCTTTCTCCTTGCAGCTTTGTAAATGTACTGCCGGGCTAAATCGATGATTTGGTCAGCAAAGGGGTCCAGCGGGGTGGAGGGAGGCTGTCTGTACCACTCCCCTGCCATCTATTTAGCTTGAATTGTCCCTAGAGGATCTTCAATATCTCCCGAGGCAGCTGGAGTTGGTAGGCGGGGTTGGGGTCTGTGGCTGCCTTCTCTACTCCTCCCACAGACCCCTTCACTCTGGCTCAGGGATGGGCAACTGTGGCCCTCCAGCTGTTGGTGAACTACAAGTCCCATCATGCCTCTGCCTTTGGGAGTCATGCTTGTAACTGTCAGCCCCAACCTTCCACTATACTGCCCCAAAATGACAATATACTGCCCCAACCTGACAATATACTGCCACTATACTGCCCCAACCTGCCACTATACTGCCCCAACCTTCCACTGTACTGCCCCAACCTGACAATATACTGCCACTATACTGCCCCAACCTTCCACTATACTGTCCCAACCTTCCACTATACTGACCCAACATGACAATATATTGCCACTATACTGCCCCAACCTTCCACTATACTGCCCCAACCTGTCAATATACTTCCCTAACCTGACAATATACTGCCACTATACTGCCCCATATGCTAAAGATAGTTATTAAGAGGTTGTTAAATAAATTATCGTGTCACCCAATATTTGGTCTCCATTCAGTAGCCAAAAGAGGCATACAAAAAGGGGGATTTGTGAAAAGAGTTTCACAGAAAAGCGGCTACATAGTGAACAGAACGTGACACTCAGAAAAATTTCCAAAAATTATGCTTTATTACACATATATAAATATGACATATGGGCATTCGCCCTGGTTTACCATCACCTCAGTATGAGACAATACACACAGACCTAAAACCATATAAAATGACACCAAAACCGGTCTGAATGCATGTGCAGCAGAAAAAATGACTACAAGAGTCTAATGTCCCTGTAGCACAGACACATAGGTGAACACTTCCCAAAGGAGGTGTATCCAAAAATTATACCATAGGCATACCATAATATGAGATATAATAGATTAAGCAATTACCATGATGGTAAATCCCAATCAGGGAATCCAAAAATTATACTATGGATATGAATATCACATGTATGCAATGCAGCAAGCACAATATGCGTCAAAAAGAGAACATCAAGCCACAGGCCTGTATGAAGGAAGACATAAATGTCAAAAATATATAATGCAGTACATTCCTGTGCCGGCACAAGTGGTTGGGGCCCATTCATCTGTAATATAAACAGCTGTTTCCTAGAGCTCTTGAATGAGAATATGCCCCATTAATTCCCAGGATGGAAGAAAAGATGCACAAAGCAGCACTCTGCTTGAAATGGTTTCTTCACCACTATATGTGGACTACACACCACTTTTCGTAGGAACAACAAGACACATCCCAATAGATCTTCTGCCTGTTGAAATATATATGGTATATCTTGTTTCCTATACAAAGCACCATGATGTCCCCATCCTGTAGTGAAACAAATAATATGTGGGAAGTCACTGACAGAGCTTACACTCTATATAGGATATATAGGTCATATAGATCACAGAGGACCATATATCTAATGTCCTGTAACAATCCACTCACCACCTGTGCTGTGGATAATAGGAATGAAAGAGAAGTCCTTCATAGATACTGCCATACAGGGCTAAAGAGGCCAAGGAACCACCGCTGACATCCGCCGATATACCGCGGGTTCCAGCCCCTTCTTGGCGCTTGTGCTGCTTAAGCTTGCCTCATGGCATGTGAAGATGGCTTCCTCCTTATGGGTCAGCGTGCGTTCCACCTAGTGCGCATGACCGGAAGTGACGTATCTGACGTATGACATCAACGCGTTTCGCCGATGGGCGTATCTCACTCAGCTTCGTCGGGACCTGACGAAGCTGAGTGAGATACGCCCATCGGCGAAACGCGTTGATGTCATACGTGAGATACGTCACTTCCGGTCATGCGCACTAGGTGGAACGCACGCTGACCCATAAGGAGGAAGCCATCTTCACATGCCATGAGGCAAGCTTAAGCAGCACAAGCGCCAAGAAGGGGCTGGAACCCGCGGTATATCGGCGGATGTCAGCGGTGGTTCCTTGGCCTCTTTAGCCCTGTATGGCAGTATCTATGAAGGACTTCTCTTTCATTCCTATTATCCACAGCACAGGTGGTGAGTGGATTGTTACAGGACATTAGATATATGGTCCTCTGTGATCTATATGACCT